GAGCGCCCTGCAACAGCATCCTGCACATGACGCAGCCTGCGCAGCAGCTCCCTGCAACAAGCAGCTGTGAGTCTTGGCTTGCAGCAGCGCCCTGCAACAGCACCCTGCAGGAGCATCCTGCGCGCCTCGAGTCTTGCAGCTGGCTGCGACAGCGGATTGCGCAACTCTGCGCAGCGGCTGCGAAACTCTAAGTCCCGGCCTGCAGCAGAACCCTTATTTGTGGGTCTGTTCTGGCGATTTTTTGCGACCCCCCGCGGAGTCAAACAACGAGCGGGGGCGGGGGTGCCCGGTTCTGGACAGCATCCCCAGCATTGCTGGCATCATCCCAAACGATGCGCATGATGCAAGGCATGCGGGTGACGTAAAACGAAGGGCTTAAAGAAAGGAGGATGAGGGGAAATAATGGGAAGTCAAAGCAGGTGGGGGCAATGGAATGAATGGAATTTGGATGGAAAGTTGCAGATTTTTGCATGCGAATTGCAAGAGCACTCTGCTGTGAGAACCCGGCATGTCAGGCAACAAATTGCAAACACATCAACGCGTTAAGCAGCACTCTGAATACAAATTATTTTGGCTGCTCTGCCAGGTGGCATGGCACACGGGCATCTTTAGTTCGCCGGCTGACAACAAATTCTGGCTATCTGCTGGTAAAATCCGCCGACCCCTGGCGCATGGGAAGGGAGTGAATTCTAGCTCTTAGAGACCGACCAAGTCTGACAGCGCAAGCATATTCTTCTATTGTGAAACTACAAGACTTGAAACCTCACCAAGTTTAAGACCTTGCCATGCACAAACTATTCCCTGTTCATTCGCAACGCGCCCGTTTCTGAGTCGCCCAGGATTTCTGTTTGCGCTTGTTGGGGGCGGGTAAGGAGGGGGGGGCGTGGCAGGGAACAATGCGTGCAATGTGAACTGGCTCCTTTTTCAGCACTTGCCACTTGATCTGCACGAAAAAAGGGGATAGCAGCGTCGCGCAGATTTGCACGGCCAGGTCAACCCAGAAACTAATTCCAACTTTTTTACAATCTGTTTTAGCGTGTCATGCTTAATTGTATTTCGCAGCTCTTGGTTTTCTCTTTCCTTGCGAGTATTGATGTCATGGAATTCAGAACTCTTCGCGATGGAGCCAAATAGAAACATGACAGTGATTAATAGGTGATACATACATGACCAAGAGATGAGCCTGTAGATTATAGACCCTTCCAATCTCTGACGTTACAATAATCCGTGTATAACTGGGGTCGGCACGCCTACCAATAAGATATAGGTAATGAGTGAGAGGTAACAAGAAGAGATAATGTGAGGGTGATGATGGCCTTTTGTTTCATTAGACCGCCCTCCATCTCTTTCTCTCGCTCCCTCCGTTCCTTTACCTGGCATGCAAGGGAGAGACATTCCTTGCCTAGCCCCGGCCCTAACAGATTGGATTATGATGGAGGAGCTGGTCATCTCCCTCTCACAGACCTTCCCTCGCCGCGAGGTTTCTACGTGAAAGAAAGAGGTATCATCCCTTCTCCCTCTTTTACGTTGGTTTTCCTATCTTCTTTCCGTGTCTTTATTCTAAAAGTCTTTACTATTCACGAGAGGAAAAGGATGTGGATGAAGAGATTTTGATGGACGAACGAAGAGGGAAGCCTTGTGAGGGCTGGTCCAGCTTTCATCTCTATCTCTATCCAGCACACAGCTACTTTTGGTTGGGGGTAAAGCCGTGGAGAAGAGAAAGGAATAGCATGAAAGGGTGGGGAAGGAAGGAATTGCCTTCACGCACCCTTTCCAACAGCTTTCATTTCTCTTCCTACCCCTTTCACAAGCTAGTGAGAGGCATGTCCTCCACCTTCCCATCCCTTCCTCACTCTTTCCCACCTCTCTGCTTACTGGCGAACAACGTGGGCGACATGCCTTTCACATCCTAGCCCAGCGGCCTGCATAACCCAGGGGCCTGCAGGATTTTGGGTGTTGTGTGATATTGCAACTATACGACTCTCAAAATTCTTCAATGTTGGAAATACTTAGCCCAGGAGGGGCCCAGCCAGGACCTTTGATTAGAATTTTGAGAACTTTCATAAGTCAATTCTGAAAGTTCTAGAAATTCTAAAAAAAGTCCAAGGCTGGGCCTGTCCTGGGCTGGGACCATTGAGAAATTAAAAATCTACATTTCGGGGGTCCGTTTTTAAAAATTCTTGGCATTTTATAATTGAATTCTAAAAACTAAAGCAATCTATTTTTTGAAAGTCCGGTTTGTAGAATTTTTAGATTTAGTAGAGTTCATGCCAAAAAATGAACTCTACAAATTCTAAAACTTCTAAAAGTCAAGGGTCCTGGCTGGGCCCCTCCTGGGCTGGGACCTTCAAGAATTCAAAAACCATTATTAAAAATCTAAATTTCGGGGGTCCGATTGATAGATTTTTGAAAAGTTCAAGTCAAAAATTCTAACAATTCTAAAAATCAAGGGTCCTGGCTGGGCCTCTGCTGGGCTGGGACCATCTAGAATTCTAAAATTCGACAAAATAAGACTTGGCGATCGAAAGGCGAACGCCCCTTCACATTGTACATACAGTTCCCTCGTACAGGGGGGGCCTCGTCACACAGCTTTTTTTGTCTACGGGCGAGGTTTTCATGTGTTCCTTACTTAGCCTTTCGCGCGCGTACACACAGAGCTACATATGTACAGACATGCAGCAGGACGTAAATGCACATGCAACTGCCTTACAGACACACATTACACACATACACAAAAATAGACACACAGACAGCAGACAGACAGACAGACAGGCAGGCAGACAGACAGACACACGCAATCATACACGCATACATACATGCAGGCAGACAGGCTTACACACATGCGTACAGACATACAAACAGACACGCACACATACAAAACTACATACACACAAAGAAGCACACACAAAGACAAACATACACACATACATACAAACATAACACCCATAAAAACATACAATCAGACAAACATACAAAAAAGCAAATAAACAAACATACGTACAAACACGCACACATACATACACATACACATTCACACATACATGCAGACAAACATACACACATAGAGACACACATTGCCCGTAGCAGTAATGCCAGTTGTTGCGTTGCGGGTTTGCTACCAGCGTGCTGAGAGGTTGTGAGCAAATTTTGTATCAGCGTGGATCAGTTTCTGTTGCGTTGGAAGCCATATGATTTGCGCCGGGTATATGATGACTTGCGCGCCAGCCACCCTCACTCCAACTCCATGACGGGTCAATTAGCATATGAAGGCTCTGACAGGTCAGAGGCCGGCTGAGCGGCGGGTTGCTCCTCTGTTGTCTCTGCAACGGAGGCGAATGTCTTGGACTTCTTTCCTTGCCCTTTCTCTTTTCCGCCCGTTCCTTTTCCGTCATTGATACTTGAATTTACCTTCTTTCCTTTCTTTCCCTTGCCTTTTCCGCAATATGCCTGGCCGTCGGGATCTGATTGCTTTCGTTAACCAGGTGGGTCCTGCCGTCTGCAACTGCCCTGCTTACCTTGTGATTTTCCTCGTCTTCTTCCTGATCTCACCTTTCGCCCTGACACCTTCCTGACTGCGAACGTGTCATGATCTTTGAAGACCCCTCATCTTCTGCAACCTTCGTTTCCGTCTTCATCTTCAACCCAGAAGAATCTTCTCCCTCGTGCTCTCCTTGCTCGAGGGTGTACAAGTTCTGATGTCCACCTCCCATGGTCGGAGTGATGGATCTTGGACTCGCGTTCTTGCCGCGATGAAGAGATCATGATACTATGTCTTCAGCTTCTCAAGCTGTGTTCCTCAAACACATTGCGCTGACCAATCTTTCTCTCTGTTGGTCTGTCAACTCACTGAAAGCTGCGCAACAAGATTGCCATTGGGCGGGAGCGCGTCTCGGCGTCGCTGTGTCATTCCTGCTACGTGTTGTCTCAATGTTTCTGGGTGATCCAGATTCAGGAACTGCGCGGGCTGCGCTCCAGCTGCGGCAGGTCGCTGCGGCAGCGCTGCTCTTTAACTGTTTACTTCTTGCGCTGGTTGGATGTAATCAGGTGACTGCGCTGTTCTGACGTTCTTTTAGGAAGCACTTCTTCACCCCCCCCTCTAGCGCTTGACCTTCCAGCAATCTGTCATCTTGCGTTCACGTTCAGTGTGTCAGTCGGTATTGCTGCGTAGCTCTACGTGTGTCAGTCGTTAGCAGGGGCTTACAATTGTTCTCCTCACCATTAGACACCAGGCCCTCTTATCTTTAAACAGACCCTGGGTCACTGAAAATGATCACAGTGGGTATCTTCTGGTTGCCCCCGATGGGGGCGAAAACATGTCATCAGATGGACAAGGCTTCGTTGGAAGCCTACACAAGCGCAGGCCATCTTAGTGGCAGCGGAGAGGAAACTCTGAATTCATCGATGCGCCAACATGCCGCCATCTTAGATTTGAAGAACAACTTAATGGTCACTGGATCTCTTTCACAATAGTGGAGCTAGAACGTTGGGGACCTTTCTTGAAGAGCAGACTCACAGGCGACGCCCTCATGTGTCGCGAGCTACTCGACAACGCGCAGCTCAGAGATGCAGCAGAATGAGTCAACTAGTTCAAGAACATATGCGCGATACACACATACATTTTCTGGGGCGGGGCGGGGGCTCGAGGATCAGAATTGGAGGTCCAAAAAACCGAGTCTGCCAAATGGCCATCAGATCGGTCGTGCGTGGAGCGCAAAACAAAAGTTGGGGCCGGAGTTGTCAGACTCTTGCCGCATCCCTCCACAATACTTTCAAGCGCTGATGAGTGAAGTGCTGCAACAGTTTAGATGATTAAGACGGCGTGTCCAAATCCGGTCGGGCTAAGGTTAAAGACTGAATGAACTGACCCATGGAAGCCCTGGCCGTAAAGCCTTAGTCAATACTTGACTGTGGCTTGATAATGGAAGAGCCACCGAAGAAGGGGTCCGACGCATTCCTTTTTAGGGCGCATAATCAGCCGACTGAATCTTTCGACAAGTGTCGTTGGGGTACGGCTCGTCCACGCGCGAAGGGTCAGCGATGGCGGTTCCGTTCCTCGGCCGGAGTGAAGACGCAAAGTGCAAGCAGGGACTGAGAACGGAGTCTATACACAACCTAGTACGAACCGAAACACCGAACGGAAAACAGTAGGATCATGCTTGGAAAACGCGCGCCCAACAAACAGGCAGCCCGGCTGCTTGCGGGCCCCAAAGAACGCAAGCGAACCAAGGTCTGGACCGTTTCGCTTTGCGCACAAGGTCTTTTGACCATGGCACATGCGTACAACACTTTGGTTTAGTCATCTGCTTTGGGTCGGGCCCGGACCGCCTTGGCGAGGCGCACAATGGAGCCGCGGCAGGTGATGGTCTTGTGCCCGGGTGGCGAATGCACCTTGGCCTGGCAACAAGCCAGTGAAAAGCGAGCCCGCTTCAACCTTGGGCCTCCTAAAACTGAGGTACATGTTTGTGGACACATAAGCCGGGAATATTCCGCAAAGCTAGGCTAGGCACACTCTGGAAATGCTTATACATGATTGTTCGCCAGACACATGCAAAGACGTCTGCTGTTTGTGTGGCGTTCAAGTGTGTCAGGTATGAGTTATGTGTTTGCTGGAAGTATGCTTAACTTGATTAACATGTGTAGGTGCAGGGACTTTGCTGGAGCAATGCTAGATGTGTGGGTATGTGCTAGCAATACCATACAGAAATGCAAAACCCATGCAGCTACACATATGCTACGATATAGTAGGCATATGCTGTAATTTACTGATCGCGCGATAGGAGACATGCGCAATGCGCCAGACACATGCCAGGTGACGCGAGACATCATTTAGACTCATAACAAACGCATGGAGGACATCTGAGTGGCACATGTTACGCGGCAAATGCGGAACACGAATTCTCGAAATACGCCTCGGACTTTGCGAAAATCATAGTAGACAATTCACTGCGCACATGCCTGATACTTGCTAGGCGTGCGCTACACATACAGCATTCACTCGCCACACACAAAACTGACATATACTAACTTTGCAATTCGTAATTCGCTGGGGAATAAACGTGCACAGGACAGATGCGGACACACGCAACACAGGGCTGCAACAAAATTGTTCGCAAAATGTCCAGGAATTGTGCTATGAGTATGCTGGGGGTTGGCTTCCTGCAAGGCACAAACCTAACACATGGCAGGAACAGGCCTGTGTTTGGGCCCTTTTGAGGCGCTCCTTTTTTGGAGGCCTTGCGGCTTGCACGCAAGTGGCCCTGCTGGTGATGCTGGGGATGTTGCTGCTGTGCCCCATATCATTCCAAAGTGCCGTTAGACATTTCTCGGGCTCTTATTTGGAGCACTTTTCGGCCGGAGGCCCCGCAGCTATGCCGGGGATCCGGTTTCTTTTTTCTATGACGTTAGACCCCCGTTTGGATTTTATTTGGAGCACTTTTCGGCTCGAAACCTGGCCGCGCTTGAGCTCTTTGGAGAGGTGTTTTTTTTCAAGGCCTGGCGGCTCGCGGCAAGTGGCCTTGCTGGTGATGCTGCGGGTGTTGCTGCTGTATCCGGTTTTGTTTCTAAGCCCGTGCTGGATCCGATTTCTTTTGTAAACAGAACCTTAAAGTGACGATAAACACCCGTTGGGCCCTTGAGGCGTGCTCGCAATTCCTTTTTCTACGTAGGATCCAAAAGTGACGTTAGACACACGTTGGGCTCCTATTTGGTCACAAGCTGCTAAAAAACCTGGAGGCGAAAGCTGTGTCGCACGTGTTCCCCTGGCTTTTCTGTAGTTTGTCATCCCTGGCTCATGCTTGGCAGTGAACGGGAGAATTAGGACTGCTTTTGTTTTTTGCAAAAGTTGCCAAAAGCCGTATGTTTTCTGCATAGTTGCATTTCAACAAACGCGCTGCAGAAACCCTTTGCAAGGCCGATACTTGACAAACAACGCCAGCTGAGTTGGTATATCGTCTTGCAACCATACCATTTGCCTATACATTGAGTCCCCGCTATGAAGCAAGCGGGTCGTTTGCGCGTTCTCACACAAACTCTTCTAGCAAATTCACGGTTGCTGGGATGGACACGTTTGCTCTCCAGATGCTTTTTGCCAGCATTTGCAAAATTGACCATGCGCCAATTTCTTGTCTGTATCCGATTTCTGTCCGCGTAGGGTCCAAAAGCTGATGCTCGGAGTGTTGGATTTCTTTTCTATATAGGGTCCAAAAGTGACGTTAGACACTTGGGGCACTTTCCAGCTTCAAACCTGCCCGTGACTGGGCCCTTCTGCGCCTTTTTCCGGACGCCTTGCAGCTCGCTTGCAAGCGGCCTTGCAAGTGATGCTGGGGATGTTGCCGTTGCGTTTGCTTTTTCAATATAGGATCAAAGTTTCTGTTTCGGATCTAAAAAAGTGACATGTGTTGGGCTCCTATTTGAAGCACTTTTCGGCTCGAAACCTGCTTGTGTCTGGGCCCTTTTGAGGCGTGCCGTCTTGGAGGCTACAAGCGGTCTTGCTGGTGATCCTGGGGTGTTGCTAGCATCTGATTTCTCTTCTATATAGGACCTCCTAAAAGTCACTTTAGACACCCGTTGAGCTCCAGTTGGGCTTGGCACGCACCTCCTGCAACCCTCCGTTCCGCGATCTACGGGCTCCAGCCAGGCGTGCTTCATACGCCCAAAAAGAACAGCGGCCATGGCATTCACAAGGCAAGTGTTTATTCACTTGTCTGAGCGGATCAGCCTGGAGCTTATCGTGAATGCCATGATCGTGCGCCGTGCGCGCTCAGCGAGGCGCACTGCAAAATGCGGCCGTGACCAGATCGGCAGGCGCGCGCAGGTCAAAAAGGTTCGACGGCTCGCTTTATTTTAAAGATCTGGGCAAGGTGTCAGGAAACCGAAAACGAGCCACTGGTAGTGTGTGTCACAGCCCAAAGGCTGTGGCAGGTACAGCCCGAAGACTGTACCAAAGCCACAGCCTGAAGGCTGTGGCAGCCACAGCCCGGCAGCCTTCGGGCTGTGCCAGCCTTCGGGCTGTGGCTTTGGCAGAGTCTTCGGGCCTTCGCTGCGGTCCGTGAAAAGGAAAGTGATGAGCATCACCTGCGTCATCTGCTTCTGGCGGTGTGCGTTTTTGGGCTTGTTTTTGGGTCCGGTTCCGGGTCTGCAGCCTCGGTTGTCCCGGTGATGCGGGTGATGCTGGTGATGCAGGTGATGCTGGGGCACTCTTGGGGCGCCGCAGATTTTAATCACTGGAGAAAAAACGCGAGAATGCAGGGTTTTGGCTGCACATAACCGAGAAAAACCAACGCTTTTTGCATGGCAGCTGGCGTGCGTGCGTGCGTATGCGTGCGAACGTGTGCATGCGTGCGTGCGTGCATGTGTGCACGCATGGGTGCGTGCGTGCGTGCGTGCACGCGCGCGCCGCGTGTGTGTGCGTGTGCGTTCGCGCGTGCGTGCGTCTGCGCGCGAGTGCGTGCGCGCGTGCGTGCGTGCGCGTGCCCTGTGTGTGCGCGTGCCCTGTGTGTGTGTGTGTGTGTGTGTGTGTGTGTGGGTGCGCGCGTGCGTGCGTGCGTGCGTGCGTGCGTGCGTGCGTGCGTGCGTGCGTGCGTGCGTGCGTGCGTGCGTGCGTGCGTGCGTGCGTGCGTGCGTGCGTGCGTGCGTGCGTGCGAGCGTGCGTGCGTGCGTGCGTGCGTGCGTGCGTGCGTGCGTGCGTGCGTGCGTGCGTGCGTGCGTGCGCGTTTGTGCGTGCGTGCGTGCGTGTGTGCGTGCGTGCGTGCGTGCGTGCGTGCGTGCGTGCGTGCGTGCGTCGTGCGTGCGTGCGTGCGTGCGTGCGTGCGTGCGTGCGTGCGTGCGTGCGTGCGTGCGTGCGTGCGTGCGTGCGTGCGTGCGTGCGTGCGTGGCGTGCGTGCGTGCGTGCGTGCGTGCGTGCGTGCGTGCGTGCGTGCGTGTGCGTGTGTGTGTGTGTGTGTGTGTGTGTGTGTGTGTGTGTGTGTGTGTGTGTGTGTGTGTGTGTGTGTGTGTGTGTGTGTGGTTGTGTGGGTGTGTGTGTGTGTGTGTGTGTGTGTGTGTGTGTGTGTGTGTGTGTGTGTGTGTGGTGTGTGTGGGTGTGTGTGTGTGTGTGTGTGTGTGTGTGTGTGTGTGTGTGTGTGTGTGTGTGTGTGTGTGTGTGTGTGTGTGTGTGTGTGTGTGTGTGTGTGTGTGTGTGTGTGTGTGTGTGTGTGTGTGTGTGTGTGTGTGTGTGTGCGTGTGTGTGCGTGCGTGTGCGTGTGTGTGTGTGTCTGTGTGTCTGTGTGTGTGTCTGTGTGTGTGTGTCTGTGTCTGTGTCTGTGTCTGTGTCTGTGTCTGTGTGTGTGTGTGGGGTGGGTGGGGTGGGTGGGTGGGTGCGTGTGTGCGTGGGTGGGTGCGTGGGTGGGTGGGTGGGTGGGTGGGTGGGTGGGTGGGTGTGTTTGTGTGCGTGCGTGGGTGGGTGTGCGTGCGTGAGAGCGCGCGCGCGCCCGCGTGTGTGCTTGCGCGCGCGCGCCTGCGTGCGTGCGTGCGGGCGGTGAAGGGGACACGGCGAACTGACGGGAAATGGATAGAAAATGGATGGAAAATGTTGATGGAAAATGGAGGTGTGTATGTGCGCAAGTAAGGAAATGCATGTTAGTTAATGTTGCTGTGCTGCCTGCTTAGCCGTCCGTGCAAGAGCTGTGAAGTTGAGCCTCGCGATGCTGCCGCGGCCGGGCAAGCCCGTGCTTTGCCCGGAGGCCTTCGGTTTTTTGCAAACCGAAGGTTTATAAGGGCCGCGCCCCCTGCCGCCGACCCACCCCCGGTTCACCCCCGGTTCACTCCGTGTCGAAACCTCGCCGCCAGGGGAAAGCGTGTTCTCGGGGGAGGACGGTCGCATACGACCCTACCCGCCGGTCACATTTGACCCTACCCTACTTTGGCTTCAAAAACCATGCCAAAATGGCAGCGTAAAGCTCCAATTCCACGACATGGCCACGCGAAACGCGCCGGTCACATTTGACCCTACCCTACTTTGGGCTTAAAATCAGTGCCAAGTGGCAATACTATGTTCCAATTCCCCGGCAGGGCCACGCGAAACGCACCGGCCACAAGCGACCCTACCCTACTTTGCGTTCAAGCAACATTGCCAGCTGGCAACGAGATGGCAGCATCAAGCTCCAATTCCACGGCAGGGCCAGGCGAAACGCACCGGTCGCATTTGACCGTACCCTACCTGACGGTTTCTTGCCAAATGCGTCACTTTAGGTCTTGAGGCTTTTACATCGCTTTCAGGTATAGTCATCACATCACTTTAGGGCTTTCTGGTTTGCTGTCACTTCTTTAGTTAGTCACCACATCACTTTAGGGCTTTCTGGCTTGCTGTCACTTCTTGAGGTAGTCACCACATCACTTTAGGGTTTCTGGTGCGCTGCCACTCCTTTAGGCAGTTACCACATCACTTTAGGGTTTCTGCTGCGCTGTCGCTTCTTCAGGTAGTTACCACATCACTTTTAGGGTTTCTGCTGCGCTGTCACTTCAGGTATAGTCACCACATCACTCTAGGGTTTAGGGTTTAGCTGTCACTTCTTCAGGTAGTTACCACATCACTTTTAGGGTTTCTGCTGTGCTGTCACTTCAGGTATAGTCACCACATCACTCTAGGGTTTAGGGTTTAGCTGTCACTTCTTCAGGTAGTTACACATCACTTTTAGGGTGTCTGCTGCGTAGTCACCACATCACTTTAGGGTTTTCTGGTTTGCTGTCACTTCTTTAGGTAGTCACCACATCACTTTAGGGTTGCTGCTGCGCTGTCACTTCTTGAAGTAGTCACCACATCACTTTAGGGTTTCTGGCGCGCTGCCACTCCTTTAGGCAGTTACCACATCACTTTAGGGTTTCTGCTGCGCTGTCGCTTCTTCAGGTAGTTACCACATCACTTTTAAGGTTTCTGCTGCGCTGTCACTTCAGGTATAGTCACCACATCACTCTAGGGTTTAGGGTTTAGCTGTCACTTCTTTAGGTAGTTTCCACATCACTTTTAGGGTTTCTGCTGCGTTGTCACTTCAAAAGGCTCCGGTCACATTTGACCCAACCTCACTCTCAAAAGGGGGCCCTTGAGTTGCTCGTTTTTTACAACGGAACAGGGGCCCCGGTCACATACGACCCTACCTCCGGTCACCTTTGTCCCTACTGGATCGTTAGATACATCGAATGCTGCGTTCCAATTCCACGGCAGGGCCACGCGAAACGCACCGGTCACATTTGACCCTACCTCACTGTCAAAAAGGGGCTCTTCAGTTGCATGTGTTACAACGGAACAGGGGTCCCGGTCACATACGACCCTACCTCCGGTCACATTTGACCCTACCTCGTCGTGAGGTAGGGTCAAATGCGACCACGTTGAGGTAGGGTCAAATGCGACCGTCCTGCCGCGTGTTCGGGCGCATTTTTTAAAAAGGGGATTAGCATAGCCGCATCCATGACGGCGGACATTGATGCGGATAACGCCGGTGATGCGGGGGATCCATGGCGGACATTGACGCGGATAATGCCGGTGATGCGGGGGATGCTGGGGCTGTTGTCCCTCAAGTCTGGCCAATTTGGCCGAACAGTGTTTTTGAAGGTTTTGGGCGGGTGCAAACGTGGAAGCTATGGAAACCTGCTTAACGTTGCACCTGGTTTAATATCGGTAGTCTGAATTATGTCAAGTTTCCCCGGCTTAAACACGACCCCCCCCCACTGCTTCGGTACCATGATTTATGTCAAGTTCAAACCCCAAAAAATCCCGCTGAAAAAAATATTACTCAAAAATTCGCAATATGGGCAACTGTTCTCCTCTCAGCTTCCTGGCTCAGTCCCAGTAGTGAAGCTCTGCAAATCTTTGGTTGCTCAACCTGAGACGCTGTGGGCCTCGAAATCTAAAAGCTTGGCAACGGACCAGGCCAAGACTTGAGCCTCTGAATTCCTGATTTGATCCTAAGCCCCAACCATCAAAGTTCTTTACTTAAATCCATCCAAAAACAAGCCCCAAACAGTCCTGCAAAGGGGGGTTGCCCACAAGGGGTGTCCAGTCTTAGGCGTGGGTGGGTTAGGAATCTCCAGGTCACATCTTAGCCTCTTGCTTCTAAAAGGGGCTCCAAATCTAAAAGCTTAGCAAGGGGCCAGGCCAAGACCAGGCCAAAAGGAAGTGGCAATACCAAAGCAACACTCAACTCACCCAAGCCCCCCGCCCGTGTTCAGGATCCCAGGACTGGGCCCCGCAGTAAACAAGGTCCAAAATTAGCAGGCAGGCCTCAGCGGTCCTGGCCGAACTTGATTTGGCATGAACCCAACAAAAAAACACTGTTTTCGATAGTTTTGTATGGATTCTAGGCCGGGCGCACGTGGAAAATGTGGAAACCTGCTTAGCAGGCAGGGCTCAACTCCCCGCGGCCGAGCCCGCTTCCTGGCAGGGTTTCGGTGAACGTGTTTTTGATGGCTTTGTATGGATTCAAGGACGCGTTGCAAAACACGTGGAAAATGCATGTTTTTCATCGCGTTTCTGGTAGGTGCTTCGAACTTGCTGGCAGACCCTGCGTTTTCCCAATGCTTTTTGGTGGGCGCGAACGCAGAAGATGTGGACACCTGCTTAACAGTCGGCCTTCACCGGTCTCTTGCCAAATGGCCTTGGGAGATCCGCGACGTTAAAAACACGTGGTTTTTACGTGGTTTTGGGCCTTGACGAGGGGTTGGCCCCGGCACCCTTCTCGGGGGCCTTCGGTTCCCTTACGCCAAAGGTTTATAGGGCTGCGCCCCCTACCGCTGACCCACCCCCGACCCACTGCCGACCTTGTGCCGCCTTTTTTTTCGGGATGCCACCTTGCGCCTCAGCATACTGGGCAACACCCCCAGCATTGCCAGCGTCATCCCGGATGATGCAGATGATGCTACGCGTGGCGATGCGAAACAAGGGGCTGAAAATTGCAATGGAGGTGAAAGGACTTGCGCGAAAATGAAGAAGGCGCTGGAGAGAAACCAAAATGCAGGAAAATGCAAGGGCAGAACGCGAAGGGAACCGGAGGATGGGAACGAAAAGAAGTTGTTGGAAATTATGGGAAACGAAGCGAAACTGAAGAGAAATGAAGAGATGTGCAGAAACTGACGTGAACTGGTTGAGTCACGGGAACTAAGGGAAAGGAATGCGAATGAAGGGGCGTTCAAGGAAATGAAGGGAGCTGAAACGGAAATGAAGCGAAAGGAAGCGTAGGGAAATGCCAGGAAACTGTCGGACATGCAGGGAAGACATGCAAAGGAAGTGAAGATCAAATCCCGGGAACTAACGGGAATTAAAAGAAAAGGAAATGGAAGAACGGGAAGGGCAAGGTGCCCGGTGGCCGGCTGTGTCGCGTCAGCGTGTAAATCCGGCTGCGCCTCCTAGGGTAGCATGTCGCCGCTAGGCAATTTGCCCGCTAGCTTCAGCTATAGGGGCTGCACCCGTGCGCCGCCGACCCTCATCGCTTGGCCGTGATGCGTTGCCTAAATCCGGCACCTCTGCATCACCAGCTCGGGCTTACGCTTTTTCCTGTTTGTGGGAAACCCTTGCAAAACATTGCGTATATGCAGGGCTTAGGCCGTGTGGCTGACACCATCAGGGTCTGGGTTCGGCCTGGGTGACGCTTCAGCGGGGCTTGGTCTGCATCATCAAGACTTCCTTCCAAAAGCCTCTCAACCCATGGAAGCACTGTTTTTTAGAAGGTGCCGAAGGAATATAAGCAAGGCTCATTTTCGCACGTTTTGGCGCCAAGCGCTGCCGGGCATGCCGGCGATGCTGGGCGCTCGCTCTACAAAACGCCGCAAATACCGTCAAAAACTGCTACGCTGAGCTTTGGGCTGTTGTTCTGTCCGTTTTGCTTTTGTTGTGGCTGGTTCGTGCGCGGCGCGGTCCTTGCTTTTTCCCCGTTGATTTCCGGGCCTTCTGGCGCGCGCGCGCGACCCCAGCCACAAAACGATGCCATTTACGGTGTTTTGTGTGTTTTGTTGCGTTTGCGATTCCGGGCTGGCTTGCGAGCTCTTCTTTTTGGGCTGCTCGTTTTGGGGCCTCTGGCGCGCGCTGAACCTTCTGGGTTTGAGCCCGGCTGGGCATCATCCGGGGTTGGGGTGTGCAACACGCACAACGGAACCAGCCAGATCACAGCACAGGATGCGTTTCTCATACAAAAACATGACATGACGTGGTATAACTAGAGGCCGCAGGCCCAAAAGATCTCCATTCTTAGATGTAAGGCCTTGCCGGCACATGTGTGAAAAATACAAGCCTGGCCATGCACATGGCTTGCAAAGCTACACGCCCCTCAGACGGTTCATATTTACATTAGAGGGCTTTTTTACTGTATGCACACACCCAGGTCCTGGTGCCCAGGACAGGTCTTGTGTGACCAACAAGGCCGGATAGGAGGCGAGTATGTGTGCGCAGATGCTTATTCGGCTGATCGATGTTTCTACCTGTTGGATTGGCACCATTCGGAACAACCCCTAGAAACAAAAAGTACATCGCTTCGACACGCTGGGGACATCGCTGGGACAACACGCTGGGGAAAGCACCTAGGAACACCACACTAAAAAACATCGCTTCGAAACGCCGGAAGCACTTGCTGGCAAAAGACAATTTCCAAAACCGTTTCTTTTTGTGTGTCCGTCAGCGCGTCGATCTATCTTCTGAAAGCGCCGCGCCTGCCAGGCAATCCACACTCGACCTTGCGGAAAAAAGCGCGCTCCCGCGCCAATGCGCCCGGCCGTGCCCGTCTCGCGCCCGCAAAAAGCCGGCGTCGCGTTTGGCTTCCCCGGCGCACGCGAAACACTCACAGACCACTCGCATTGAGCACTTTCTGTCCCAAAGCCTGCGACGCAGTCTCAAAACTTGTCACCTCTCCTCTTTGCTTCTCTTCTCTTCTCTTCTCTTCGCTTCGCCTTCTAACCTTCACTGCAGAAAGCTATCTGCATAGGCTATCTTTTTGCATAGGTTAGCTGATCTTCTGCAGGCTGTCCGCAAGAGCTAGCTTTTCGCACGCACTATCTGATCTTCTGTAAGCATCTATGTACGCAAGCTACGCGATTAGTTTTTGCGCGGTCAAGTTTTTTGAAACTTAGTTTGGCAACTACAAAACAACAATTTGCATGTGTCTGCATTTTTACATCTGCAACTACTCATGCCTGTCTTTGCACATTTAGTTGCGCGCAAGGTTATACATATATGTCGGGTCGAATGGACTATTGTCAAATCACAACATCCTTTGACCCAGAAGACTGTTGCGGACACAGAAACGTCAAGCCGCTCGCCTCCAAGCGGCCCAGGTACTTGTGGCTCGGCTCTCCAGCCTGCTGCGCCGGCAGCGTGTCGCCCTGGCAATGCTGCAGCTGCCAAGGTCCCCTCCTCCCCAGCCCGCAAAAAAACACAGGAACTAGACCACGGTTGGCCCGAAAGAATCACACCCCCGTGACCATTCTGCGCAAGTTGCTCTGGGCAAGCTGCTTTGCGCAAACTGGTCTATGCAAGTTGCTCTGCGCAAGTTGCTCTGCGCAAGTTGCTCTGTGCAAGTTGCTCTGTGCAAGTTGCTCCGTGCAAGTTGCTCCGTGCAAGTTGCTCCCTGCAAGTTGCTCTGCGCACGCTGCTCTGTGCAATTTGCTCTGCGCAAGTTGCTCTGCGCAAGTTGCTCTGCGCAAGTTGCTCTGTCAAAGTTGCTCTGCGCAAGTTGCTCTGCGCAAGTTGCTCTGGGCAAGGTGCTCTGCGCAAACTGGTCGGCGCAAGTTGGTCTGCGCAAGTTGCTCTGCGCAAGTTGCTGCGCGCAAAGTTGCTCTGCGCAAGTTGCTCTGTCAAACTTGCTCTGCGCAAATTGCTCTGCGCAAGCTGCTCTGTGCAAGTTGCCCTGTGCGAGTTGCTCTGCGCAAGTTGCTTTGTGCAAGTTGCTCTGTGCAAGAAGCTCTGTGCAACTGACTCTGTGCAAATGTCTCTGCGCAAGTTGCTCTGTGCAAGTTGTTCTGCGCAAGTTGCTCTGCGCAAGTTGCTCCGCGCAAGTTGCTCCGTGCAAGTTGCTCCGTGCAAGTTGCTGCTCTGCGCACGCTGCTCTGTGCAAGTTGCTCTGTGCAAGTTGCTCTGCGCAAGTTGCTCTGCGCAAGTTGCTCTGCGCAAGTTGCTTTGTGCAAGCTGCTCTGTGCAAGAAGCTCTGTGCAACTGACTCTGTGCAAAGGTCTCTGTACAAGTTGCTCTGTGCAAGTTGTTCTGTGCCAGTTGCTCTGCGCAAGTTGCTCTGCGCAAGTTGCTCTGTCAAAGTTGCTCTGCGCAAATTGCTCTGTGCAAGCTGCTCTGTGCAAGTTGCCCTGTGCGAGTTGCTCTGCGCAAGTTGCTTTGTGCAAGTTGCTCTGTGCAAGAAGCTCTGTGCAACTGACTCTGCGCAAGTTGCTCTGTGCAAGTTGTTCTGCGCAAGTTGCTCTGCGCAAGTTGCTCCGCGCAAGTTGCTGCGCGCAAAGTTGCTCTGCGCAAGTTGCTCTGTCAAAGTTGCTCTGCGCAAGTTGCTCTGCGCAAGTTGCTCTGGGCAAGGTGCTCTGCGCAAACTGGTCGGCGCAAGTTGATCTGCGCAAGTTGCTCTGCGCAAGCTGCTCTGCGCAAGTTGCCCTGTGCGAGTTGCTCTGCGCAAGTTGCTTCGTGCAAGTTGCTCTGTGCAAGTTGCTCCGTGCAAGTTGCTCCCTGCAAGTCGCTCTGTGCAAGCTGCTCTGCGCAAGGTGCTCTGCGCAAGTTGCTCTGCGTAAGTTGCTCTGCGCAAGGCGCTCTGCGCAAACTGGTCTGTGCAAGTTGCTCTGCGCGCAAAATGGTCTGTGCAACTTGCTCTGCGCAAGTTGCTTTATGCAAGTTGCTCCGCGCAGCTTGCGAAGCACCGCGGACCAGGGGGGCATCGAACCCGCGACCCGCTGGTCCCGGGAGCAGGCGCGCGAACCACGAGACAACTCCCGAGGACCAGTTCGAACAACAAGTCGCAAAAAACCTCCAGTTTTTGCACCTCGACCACGCCGATCCCCGCAGAGGGTCGCGCGAGCACCGCAGAAATCGTAAAACAACTCGAGTTTTTGTACCTCGACCACGCCGATCCCCGCACAAATTCGCGGACGTCAAAAACCTCCAGTTTTTGCACCTCGACCACGCCGATCGCAGAGGGTCGCGTGGGCCCAAACAAAATCGCAAAAAAAACTCGAGTTTTTACACCTCGACCACGCCGATCCCCGCAGAGGGTCGCGCGAGCCAAAACAAAATCGCAAAAAACCTCGAGTTTTTGCACCTCGACCACGCCAATCCCCGCAGAGGGTCGATTTTCGTGTCGTGTCGTCGGCACTACCCCGCAAGAAGAGATTTTAACTCCTCGCAAGTCAGTTGCACTTGACTCCTTGCACTTGCAACTTGCACTTGAATCCTTGCACTTGCAACTTGCACTTGACTCCATGCACTTGCAACTTGCACTTGACTCCATGCACTTGGCTCCTTGCAACTTGCAACGACTCTCATGACTCCTTGCAATGACTCCTTGCAATGACTCCTTGCAATGACTCTTTGCAATGACTCCTTGCAATGACACCTTGTAATGACTCTCATGAGAACAACTCAAGTGAACCCAGCGGAAGACCCCTTCGCCATGCTTTCGGGAAAGCAATCACAACAACACATCCCGTAACCATCTCGCACGCAGGGCCAACAGCCTGTCAAGTTCACAGCACGTGCCTAGCTGCAATGCCTGAACCTAACCTCGTCCCCAAAAGTACGTTCGTGAAACCGACTGGTAGGGACCGAGCCCCAGCCCCTTGAAGGGAAGCTGAAAGAGAGTTTATCTTTGAACATGTCCAGACAAGTGGAAAACACCCCTGGAAACTTCCGGATTGAGCCGGGCCAAGGGGTACAGCAAGGGGCGCAGCCTTTTGTGGAAATAGCTCGGAAAGAGACGGTGGGGCGCAAACAAACCAGACCAGGAGGAGGAGGAGGTTGTATCTGTGTAAGCCACAGTCATTGTTTATTTTGTGTGTTTTGTTGAGGAAAATCGTGGGAATTCAAGCCAACGTGCGATTTGGCCAGTAGCCAACCAGAGTGTCCGCTCTCCAGTTTGGAGGCGGTCAGAATTGCCTACACGTTGTGTCCTGAGTCTTGGCTGGTTTCTGGAAACGGTGAGAAAGCTACCCCTAGCGAATTAAACCAATATCACGCTGGAGGGCACACCTCTCCACTGGAAGTGAAACAGGAGGAATCAAACAAGCCTCTGCATTTTGGTCGCTGACCAGGCGCAGCGCCGCAGCCTCGCCATGCAGCAGCAGCATCACCTGCTGAGGCGTCCATTTGTGTCAAAATAGGGATTGCCCTTTGGATATCCCCCTTTAACCTCAGCAAACACACACCTGTTTTGTTTCAGAGTTTAGGGAACATGGTGCTGTTTTTTTTGGAACCCCCGCCGCGCTATATGCCTTGTGACGATCATCCTGGTTGGCTTCGAAAGCGGACAGAAACACTGTTGGTAACATGAATTTCCCTGGCTGTACGATCCCCGCACGTGGGTGTTCCGACCTTATTGGCAATCCATGGTCCAAACAAAAATGTTCGTAGACATCGACCCAACAAAACACATGGTCCTAGAATAGCACAAGACTGGCCATGAATTGATCCAAGACTGAGCCCGCCCTAAACCCCAAACAAAGCCCGGATGCAGGTAGATGTGTTTTATATGTTTTGCTAGGTCTGGAGGGCAAGAGGCGCCGCCCTCAATTTTCTACTGGGGGCCGTCTGGCAAATCCAGCACCGGTGGCCAAGGTTGGCTTAGATCTTCGTGAGGGTGGATTTTGGGAGTGACAAGATGGGAGCATGGCGGGTGCATTTCCGCGCCGCCGGCGTGGCGCGGAGATAGATATCGATTCCTCCCTCTGCGCGGACGTGGCCGATATCCTCCCTCTGGGCCCGGGGGAGATATCGGAAGAACCTTCCTCCGCAGCCCGGCGGGTGGGGGGCACCCTCAGTCTCCAAATCTGGAAAATGTAGGTTGGGAGCTGACTTACGTACATCGAAGCAATCAGGTCGACGGTTTACGCTAGTTGCAGATTCGTGTAGTGTTTGTGAAGCCGAAGCACCATGGGTGATTTTCTATTTACTTGTTTGTTTGTGATGAAGCCGTTTTGAGAGGAAGGGGGCAAGAACTCTGTGTCATCATCTTGCTCTATCGCAAGTGGTCATGCGCCTGCGCGCAGCAAAGCTGAAAGAAGGCATCTCAGCATCGGTGATGCAGTTTGCCAGCACTGCACACCTAAATTTGGTAGCGCAGTTCAAAACCACGATGTTACGTGTGAAGAGGTAGTGCGCGTCATGCGGTGCAATTGGGGGCTCTTTACTGAATGTTTCACTCCTCGTGCACCACAAGCACCCTCAGAAAGAATGGATGTGAACAAAATGTGCGAGACACAGCCGCCAGCACGTGTTTCAGATTGACACAGCTGTTCCTCTCTTGTAAGTACGTTTATATCAAAAATATTCCTTATCAGGCATGGCATGCCAAGCCAACTCTGGGAAACACACAAAACCTCAGATGCTGGAATCATTTGTTTTAGAGCACGTACATCCTGAAAGTTCGATAGCTGGCATGCGCGTGAACCGATCGACAAGTTGTGACATTGGCCCATTGCCTTGCATAAAGGTTTTTATTATGATGTTTCACGCGCTTTAAATGGGAGGTCTCTAATACTTTTGCTCCACGCTGTGTTACGTATGTGATGTGTTTGGCCACTGACATGTTGGGATGCTAGGTTTTTCAGAGTCGGGGACGGAAGGTTCCATTCTGAGCCACGCCGCTATCCGCGAGTGCCGATATCCTCGCAGGGGTGCGGGCATAGATCTCGGCTTGCACGCCGATATGCGGACTTGCCAATATCCTTTTTTGGCCCCCGGGGAGATATCGGTGTGTCGGCGCACGCCAGTATCCGGACGCGCCGATATGCTCCCGCGTCTGAGCTCTGGGGGAGATATCGGTGTATCGGCGCACGCGCCGGTGCGCGCGCCGGACACGCCGCTGCCGATATCCTTCCTCCTGGGCCCCCGCGTGTTATACCCTCGATCTCCAAATCTCTGATCTACGTACATCGAGAACCAAGTTGACGTTGTAGGTAAGTTGCAGATTTATGTAAGGGTCGAAACACCACACTTGATTGCATACTTGCTGATAGACAGCTCTAAGATATTGACTTCAACCCAGCCGTTTTCTTTGGCATCGAGAGGAAGCGCCTTGTTGTAAGTGGTCATGCGCTTGCGCGCGCCAAACTAAAAGAGGGCATCTGAGCATTGGTGACGCAGTTCTTCCGACATCGTCTTGCCAGCATGTGAAAGAGGTAATGCGCACCATGTGGTGCAAATGGGGAGAAGGATCAATGTGAACAACCTGTGTGAGACACAGCCGCCAGCACATCTTTGGGACCTGTTCCTCTCGTGTAAGTACGTAAATATCAAATGTGGAGTCGCAAGCCAACTCTGGGAAACAGACGAAACCTCAGATGTTGGAATCATCTCTTTTGGGGCAAGTTGTGACATTGGCCCATTGCCTTGCAAAAAGCTTGTACTATGATGTTGCATGCGCTTTAAACGAAAGGTCTCTCATACTTTTACGTATGTGATGTGTATGGCCACTGACATGTTGGGATGTTCGGCTTTTTCATGGTGGGGGCGTGGCAGGCTCAACTCCGCGCCGCGCCGATATCCGCGAGTGCCGAAATCCTCCTCGCAGGGGCGCATAGATCTCGGCGCGCACCCCGTTTTGCGGACGCGCCAATATCCTCCCCTTTGGGCCCACATCTGCTAAATCTAGGTTGGGGGCTGATTTACGCACATCGAAGCAACAAGGTCGACGTTCTACGTAAGTTGCAGATTTATGATGCGAGGGTCGAAACACCACGAAGTGGCGGAAGAACTTGTGATGTCCCACTTTGAAAACGGACACGCGACCCTGGCGCCGGCAAAGGCATCCCTGACGACATGGCGTGATTTGGTTCCGCCGGCGCCTATGCCTGTGTGTTCATCGCCTTTCGCTAAGATCACACTATCGGTCGCGAGTTGTTGGAACGGTGCGGCGGGCGCATCAAGCATGTCATCACTCCGCCCTACTTTCCGGGAAACCCGCATTGATGTTACAGACCGTGCAAAAGAGGCCCTTTGGGAAGTGACAGCCGTTTTCTTTGGCATCGAGAGGAAGGGGACAAGGACTCTGTAACATCATAAATCGCCCTGTTGTAAGTGGTCATGCGCTTGCGCGGCGTAAAACAAAAAGAGGGCATCTCAGCATCGGTGACGCAGTTTTCCGACATCGTTTCGCCAGCACCGCAAATCTAAACTTGGTAGCGGGGAAGTACGTAAATATCCTATAAAATTCTTACCGGGCATGTGATGACAAGACTTCAGATGTTGGAGTCATCTCTTTCAGAGCAATTACATCCTGAAAGTTCCACAGCTTGCGTGCGCGTCAACCGATCGACAAGTTGTGACATTGGCCCATTGCCTTTCATAAAGCTTGCGCTATGATGTTTCATGCGCTTTAAAACGGAAGGTCTCGCTGTGTTACGAATGTGGCACTGACGGGATGTTAGGATTTTCAGGAAGGGGGCGCCGCGAGTTCAACGCTGCGCCGCGCCGATGTTCGCAAGCGCCGATATCCTCCCGCAGGGGCGCATAGATCTCGGCGCGCGCCCCGTTTTGCGGACGCGCCAATATCCTCGAGCGCAAAAATCTCGCTGATATCCTCCCCCTCGCGCTGGTATCCGGACGCGCCGATATGCTCCCTCTGGGCTCTGGGAGAGATATTATCGGCGCACGCCCCAGTGCGCGCGCCGGACACGCCGCTGCCAATAGCCTTCTCAGTCTCCAAATGTGGAAATGTTGGCTGTGTGTCTTCCTATGAATCGCAACACCACGCTTGATTGCTTGTATCCTGCTAGACAATTCTACGCGCTTGACCTCAACCCAGCCGTTTTCTTGGGCATCGAGAGAAAGGGGACAAGGACTCTGTACCATCATGATGCTCTGCGCTTGCGCAAGGCAAACCTGCCAGGCACAAGGACTTACCCGCCCGAATGTACAAGTGGCTCCCACCACTGCGCATGATAGGCACGCCCGATCGCGCGTGTTGCATTTATTGAGGGTACCCTCTCTGGGACATTCCATTTGGGACATGGTTGCTGTCTAAGCGTGGTGCCTGCTGACAATGGTGCTTCTTATCAGGATAAGACTGTCTCTACAGTTTTTGGCACTGCCAGTTGCAATTTACAATTGCCAAGACTTCATCTCATATTTCCAGGACGTACTTTAATCTTGCCTTTATGTTGGAGCCGTTGGCCCAAAAGTGAAAACGTCAAGAATACCCAGTATTACACAAGCAAAAAAAAACTGGAGCCAATGGCCCAAAAGTACAAAAACGAAAAAGTAAACGAATAAAGTTCTGGAGCCAATGATCCAAGAGCACACAGCAAAACGATAAAAAGTAACATGTTGCAGTCCATGGCCAAGGCATTTTACTTCAGGGCCACTCTGAATCGCTCCCGAACAGCTGAAAGCTCTCCGGCCGGGCGGCAGGAAGGTTCCACGAGGGTTCCACCAGGGTTGCGCCAGAGCTTCAACAGGTTCTGCAAGGGCTGCGGGGTGGTCCAGGGTGGGTTCCACCAAGGGTTCCAATTAGAATTTTACCAGCGTGCCACCAAATTATTATCATCACCACTGATGTTGGGTGATGGTTCACAGCATCCGCGTCATCATCATTACCGTGGCGCTTCTTTTTTCATATATGTTTCAAGTGTGCCGTTGGACCTGACTGGAGATGCAAGGATGCGTCGCGATAATTGTCATGAGAACTGCTGCTGATGCTGGGAATGCATAGTGATGACATTACATGCTGGTGATAATGAGGATGCGTAGTGATGATTATCATCAGGATGATGAACATGACGGTGAAAGTAATGATGGTGGTGTTCTTCTTCATCATGTTTATGTTCAGCATCATCATCATCATCATCATCATCATCATCATCATCATCATCATCATCATCATCATGTTCATCATCATCATCACCATCATCATCAAAGGCGTCATCATGTTCCTCATTATGTTCATCATCGCTCTTCTTTTCCATATACGTTTCAAGTGTGCCGTTAGCCCAGGCCATAAATGCAGGGGATGCGTTGTGTTGATGATGAGGATGCGTAGTGATGAGTATCATCAGGATGACGATGATGATGATGGTGAGCATGATGAGGAACATGGTGATGAAAATGAAGATGATGATGAACATGAGGATGAAAA